TCTCCTCCCCTCCCCTCCCCTCTCTTTGTCCAAATATAAGGAAAAGGTAGAGTTAGAGGCGACCCTGGTTTTCCAAAGCAACTTAAAATTTGATATCGATCCATAACCTTTATTTTTCTTTTCTTATTCTTCCCAAAAGCACTTCTTTTTAAATAAAGGAATTAAATTTTTAATAAAGTGTCTAACTTTACTAATCACTTAAGTAACTTACTTGTTTTTTTTTTTTTTGGTTGAAAGTAAAAAATTTTTAATTTGAATTATAAGATATGCAGGTAGGATGAGATAAGTAATCGGAGATAATTATTTTTTATTATATATCTAAAAAAAATAAACAATAAAAAAATTAGAATGTCCAGCTTTTGTAATTATACTATGCAAGGAATCGAATTTCTAATTTTCCTAATTACATAGTCTAACTAGTGAAATTCATTGTACTAGGAATTATTGAAATGTGAACACGATAACGTAGCTAACAAACTCAACTAAGTGGGCCTATTCTCCTTTTTTCTTTTTTTTTTTTTGGTAAATAGAGGATATATACTAAAAACAGAAGAGAACATCAATGATTAGTCCTGGGAAATTCAAACCCCATAAGGTCCAAAATACAAAAAGGTTTGACACTAATAATATATTTGAAATAAAAAATGTAAAAAAAAAAAGAAAGAGAAGAAAAAAAAATTTTAATTATAACTAAATTAAAATTTTTTTATATTATTTTTAAAATTTATTTATTTATTTAAAAAAACATTTAAAAAATATATTTTTTTTTGTCATTTTCTCCCTCGACCTTTCCCCCTATCTAAGTAGATCAGGTAAAGAGACATTGAGAAAACACACAGCAATAATCTTGAGGGAGTGCGTGTCCCATCCAAGTCATTTTGATCAGCAGCCATATTCGACCGGTGGACAAGTTAGCCTACTTTTTGCTGACGGGAATTATCACTCAACGCTAGAATACGTAGACAAGCGGTGAAAGGCACACAATTTCTTAGGCATTATTAAAAATAGTTAATAAATAATAATATAATTGGTATTTATTAATTATTTAATATATTAAAATTAATACCAATGACTTATTAGTTCGAATGGAAGGAGTTCGATTTTTCTTAAATAAGGTTCCGAATTCGAGTCTTATCAATAAAGAAACAGACGCTAAGAAAATTTCTCTCTAATAAGATCCGTTATTCGATTTCGAATTAGTTGACATCGAATGTAATTACTGGATAGCAAGAGGTTAACAAAAAAAATTAAAATTAATTTATAAATTAATATTTTTAGATATTATAATTATTTATTTAAAAAAATTTATACAATAATGAAATATAAGTAAAACTAAATACACCCATCATAATTTTTTGTGACCTTAACATATTTTTAATGATTCTTAATTTGATTTGGAGAAAGGGTTTTAGTAACTGAATTTTTGTTTTCTTAAGAAGTGTCTGTTTGTTAGGATAAGTGTTTTACCATTAAATATAGGCAAATCCCCTAATATAATATTGAAGATTGTTTCATTTAACTGTTTATATTTTATAGTCTAATTTTAAAGGGGTGAGTATTTTTTGATACAATTAAAATATAAGTAATATTTGATACTTAACTTGAAAATTTTTTAATATAATTTTGTAGATTTGAGATTTGCTCAAATACTCAAAACTTATAATTAGACCTAACTCAACAAATATGTGATAACTTGTAGGTATAAATTTACATACTTTATTAAAAAAAAGAGACCTTGTATGAGTTGCAATTGTTATATATATTATGTGTTTGATTTAAGATTTATTATTTATATAAATTACTATTATTGTGTTTATAATTTATTAGCTTATAAGTCTTACTTTATTTTTTATTTTTTTTAAATAATTATTTTTAAATATTAAATATAATAAATACATATAAAATTTTAATTATACAAATATATATAACAGGTTAATTAAATAAATTAAATAAATAATTTTCAACCTTTAAATTTATTATTTAATTTAATACTTATAAATATATTATTTTTTTACTCATTACTCATAGAATTCTTTCACCATTTAAATATAATTCTTATTCGATCAAATAAAATATTTACAAATAATTAATATATCCCTGTACAAAGCCTACCCCAACTGCGAAGAAAATCACATTCGTTTGTTGGTTTTTTTTCCTTCCCATGTATTTTCTTGGAAAACGGGCTGTTTTCCATTTCGCTTTGTTTTCCTATTTCCTTTTCGCTTTTTCATTTTTCCCAATGCAAGGACAAACCCACACATGCACTCATCGAATCTCCTCTCTCCTCTGCTTTTCGAAAAACCACATTTTCTATTCATCTAGCTTTACAATATTTCATCTTGAGCCCTGATCTTGTATTCTCTTTAGTAGCCTACAAATTTTGCTGAAAATTCAACAACCCAAAAAGCCCCTTCAGTGTACTGGGCGTGTGTGACAAGGTATCAGTTCTTATGATCAAAAAGTTTGCTCTTTTTTAGGGTTCAGTTGGGGTTTCTGCCTCCTTCATCCTTTCTCCTTGTAGGGGTTTATTTTCTCTATGCTTTTCTGAAGAGGCCATTTTCTTGGCCAAGTAACTAAATTGGTTTTCATTTGCGGAGAAAGAGTATTTCCTTTGGGGTTTCGTCTCTTTCCTCTTGCTTGTTGTTTCTGAATTTTGCTCCTCAGTGCAAAATTGTGGTGTTAATAGCCTCAATGCTGAACTTGAGCAAATCCCATTTTGTCATTTTCACCCGCACCGCTTCTGTACAACCTATGGGTTCATTGCATCTTCGTCAGTTTCTTTTAGGAATTTAATCGAACATCTGGTCTACACTTTGAGCTCTCCCCCTCTTTGTCACTCTCTCTGTGCCTTTGTGTGTATAAGCTGTTTTTAATCATGGGTTGTGTTCATGGCAAGTGTTGTGGTCGCTACCCCTCATCATCAGATGTTGATTCCAGAGACTACAAGGAAGTGGCCAGTCGCAAGAACAGATCCCGCATTACGCAAATACCATTGGAGCATGTTGCTGTTCCATCTCACAACTTCAATTTGCAGTACTCCTTCTTAACACAGCCTGGTTATTACCCAGATGATCCTGACAAGTTAAACCAGGATAGTTTCTGCATCAAGACGAAACTTCAAGGTAACCCAAATATCCATTTCTTTGGGGTATTTGATGGGCATGGCCAATTTGGTACTCAGTGTTCGAATTTTGTGAAGGATAGGCTTGTAGAGATATTAGCCAGTGACCCCACGTTGGCAGATGATCCTGTGAAAGCTTATAGTTCAGCCTTTATGACAATGAACCAAGAGTTGCATAATAGCGAGATTGATGATTCAATGAGTGGTACCACTGCAATTACTGTTCTTGTTATTGGGGATACCCTTTATGTGGCAAATGTGGGTGATTCGAGGGCAGTAATTGCTGTTAAGGATGGAAATCAAATTTTGGCAGAGAATCTGTCTTATGATCAAACGCCTTTTAGGAAAGACGAATGTGAGAGAGTGAAGCTCTGTGGAGCCAGGGTTTTGAGTGTTGATCAAGTGGAAGGACTCAAGGATCCGGAAATTCAGAGTTGGGGTGATGAAGAGAGTCAAGGTGGTGATCCACCGAGGTTGTGGGTTCAGAATGGAATGTACCCAGGGACTGCATTCACCAGGAGTGTGGGAGATAGCACAGCAGAGAAGATTGGCGTTGTTGCTGATCCTGAAGTGTCAACCGTTCAGGTTACACCTAATCATTTATTCTTCATCATTGCAAGTGATGGAGTTTTTGAGTTTCTCTCCAGCCAAGCTGTTGTCAACATGGTACGATACATTTCAATCTATGCTTACATTTTTTGTAGCAGTTTTGGTTGTGAATCTATTATTATTATTATTATTATTATTATTATTATTATTTATTTTACTCTATTATGTTTGATTAGTTCCGAGTTATATTGAGAGTTATATTGAGTTTTACTGCAATTTCTATGTTTGATAAGTAAGAAGTAAATGCAGCAGCAGTTTGTGGTGCCTTTAATTTTCACAATCATTATGGAAATTTATTTTTTTGTCCTTGTATTTCTTAGCAGTTATTGGTGTTAGGCTGTGGTTCTTCTGCTAATTAACTTAATTAATTGTTGCATTTTCGAAGTTGCCTTTTTGCATCACTAAAGCACTCCACTTATATAAATTGAACTGTTATGTAATGTAGGGTTATTTATTGGCCATGTGATATTGAGGATTCCTCGCAGGTTTTCGTTCTCAATAGTTGTTAACAAATCTTACAATTTTTTTCATTTCATAGGCAGCAAGATATTCAGATCCCCGGGAAGCATGCTCAGCAATTGCTGCAGAATCCTACAAACTATGGTTGGAGCACGAAAACCGGACTGATGATATTACAATCATAATTGTACACATTAAAGACTTGTCTAATGTATGCGCAACTTGAATCTTACTCAGGCTGTTCATTTTACTGTTTATTTTCTTCTTAATAAACTATAATGCTTTATCAAGGCCTTATCTCCTATATTTTCTACTAGCTTCTATCAGCAGCAATGCAAATATGGTATCTTCTAAGAATGCTGAAGACACCTCTGTTTGTTTACAATCAATCTCTACTTTACTGATTTGTATCAAATTAAAGCTACTTGTGTATACATTACTTGTTTTGGATAAAAAGTATGGATTTGATTGGTTGCTTGAATTTCTATCCATCTTTGTTGCAAAAATTAAGGAAAGTAATAATAGAAAAATAGTTATATCTACAGGTTATAATTGATACGTAGCTAGTGTACTGGTGGAATAGATGTGAGTTTTACTTGGTTATTTGCTTGTAATTTCCTAATGTTCTTTTGGTTGTTGCAGTCAAGTGCTGGTGTCACAGATGGAAGAACAACTCGTAGATCCAACAAGGGAACTGACTCCCCTGTCTCTTGGTCAGAACATTACGGTTTGGTTGGAAGTGATGTCTCAGATCAACAGCAGCCTTATCAGCTCAGTGTTGCCACGAACCGATCCGAAGCTGTTATTGTTCCCTCTCCAGCAAGTCAGAGGCCCTCAGAAAGCTCTGTTTTGGTAAATCCCAATCTCTCTCTCTCTCTCTCTCTCTATATATATATATATATATTGCAGTTTATCTCTCTGCATTCACTGCAGTTATGTCATTATTAGGCCTTAGGAAGCTGCCTGCTTTTATGGTACCAATCTCATTTTTTGTTCAAGTCTCTTAAATTTGATAACTACTCTAGGGAAGGGTTCATGGTTCATCTTGTTGCACTTGTGTTCTACCCATTTTAGCTAACATACCATCTTAGATTATCTTTAATGATGGACCGTCATTAAAAAAACTAACAAAAGGCTATTTAACTTATAGCAGGATGTGGGTTAGTGGTGCATTTCACTGGAAGCAAGGAGACTTGTTTACACAGGCATGGTTTCGACATTCACCCATTAATCCTACCTGTAACACCATTACCAACCACATAAATTCATGCAGGTTTAAGAAGAACAAACAGCTCTCCTAGCCTCTGCATTGTGCCTACTAATTCAAATTTTCAAACAAGAAGAGGAGCTCAAGTCAAAGAATATTCCACTGTGAGATGGTTGAACTGAAAATTGAAGGTATGTTTTCCAAATCAAATTCTCACGTACCCTTCTTGTTTGTCAGCTCTAAATCTCGACTATGCACAGACCTTAATTTGTGTTCTAGCTACTTTGGTTGTGAACTACGTTTCCAAACAGGTTCCACAATTTGTATAAACATGTTGATTTGAATGTAATTGTATCTTGCTGTCTCCAGAGTCAACTTTTTTTTATCTTGCTTTGTAAGCGAAAACATGTCCAATGATGTTTAATACCTAATGGGATTATTTTTTTTTTTTTTTTAATCTTCTTAATTGTGCTTCATTACATTACATGGCGAAATTCTGATGTCTCCAATGACCCATAAAGCTTGGCCATTTTGAGCAACCAGAAGCCTCGTTCGATCCAATATCAGTCCAACAAATCCCAGCGGCTATTATCCAAAAAAGCACAGCCGGCATCAGGCAAAAGAATGATTCAAATTTAAAACTCCATCCGTTCCTATTTATCCATCCACTTCGGCTTTTGTTCAAACGGAAGCATCCAACAAGAACTACATAGTGAAAAAAAAAAAAAAAAAGAAGGAAATTTATTCATAAAGAGGGTAAAGTATCACTTTAAATTACATGTAAAGTTAATTATAAAAACAGACAAATAAGAACGGAGTAGTTGATTATTCAAGCCAGGAATAGAAAGCTCCACGAAGTGAAGCACCGCCACATTCTTGTGATGAAAAACATTTCTCATGGCACAACTAGAGGATGCAAAACCTTATCTTCTTTTCAATAGGATTACGTTAAACGCAAAATTGTTCTATCCAAATAAAATGGGTACGCCAGAAGTAAATCGACAGCTTCTTGTCCATACTGTTTTGTCTTATGTTGCATTGCTCTAACAACCTGTTAATCTTGTCAGAATCTCCGGCAGCCACAAATACTTGGCTATTATGATTTTCTGACTTACTGGTCAATTGAGCAACATCATCTGCAACAACTAGTTTACCTTCATGTGAAGAACGTTCTTCATCCTCTGTTAAGATGCTTGTGATGGCAGGCTCTTGAACTTCAAAATTGGGCATCGTCTCAGGTTGAAAAGTTTGTGTCTTTGGTTCATCCCTCTCAGACTTCAGAGGGCAGCAACCAACTTCAATTAATTCTTCCGGGGGTGGTTGATTAAAGCAATAAAGTGGAGTGCTATCTTCAAGGAGTAATTTATCCAAATCTTCCAACTTTTCAGCAAGATGACTCTCTAAAACATAAGCCGAAGATAAAGCTCCAGTAGATAAACTCAATAGTCGCCAATTGAAAATACGTCGGAAAATCATAACCCAGTTTGGAACTATATGGTAGCTCAAGTTGCAGAGTTCAAGCTGTGTACTTCTGTGTGGTATAACACATGCTTCTGTTGTTGCTAGTGGGACTCCCATCATCTTGCTTGACTCTGTTAGATATCTAAGCAGGCAATTTTGAAGCTGTATTATATGGTTCTTAATCTCGTCAACATTACTAGAACCTCTATGCAACCATGAAATATCCTCAGGAAAACTAGGAAGTTGACAGTCTCTTAATGCACATTCAAGTGGTGTAGTTGCAGCAGCCAAGCTCCATCCTACACTTGGCAAGTACCACTTCACCACCAAATGCTCCTCACTAGAATCTTCCAGCAAATTAATCTCAGGACATGGCCAATTGGTAGGATTTGCTTTTGCAGCAATGGCAATTTCTCCCAATGACCAATCTAATGCTTTGTTGAAGGCAGAGATACAGTGGTTTGGACCAACTTCATAGACACTCATCTTGTCCAGCATTTCTAATGAAGGACTCAATTGGGCAATAACAAGTTCACGTAACTTCATGCTTTGGAGGGCAGGTTGAAGGGGTGACTTACTCGCCAACCACCGCAGTCCTTTCCTTAGCTGTTCATCACTGAAAAAGACATCTGGTTGCTCCAGTTGCTGGTTACAAGCAAGGAAAGCAACTGAAAAGCTGCTTACTCGTGATTTATCCAAGTCATGGAGGCTCAATTCATTAACTATAATAGATGAGGGATCTCTAACTTCTCCACTAAATGAGTCGCATAAGACCAGAAGGGGCAAGCTAGAACCAGAAGGAATCGACATCAGAAGGTTATGAAGTTGGACTTTTTGGAGATTCCATGGGATGCTTTCAGATACAAGATACAAAACTGCACTTGAACCAGCTACTGACTCATTCAAATTATCAACTTTTGTCTCCTTAACAACAGATAAGCAGCAAGTCAGATCATTACCAGATTGACTAGGAACCCATTTCTACCAAATTGATACGCCAGGATATGAGGCTATTAGATCTTTATCAGTTTCTTCCCTGGATGGCATGAGCTTTGAGAACAACCATGGACCTGCTGCCCAATCAGCAATCTGGCCCTTGTGCGTAAATGCACCTCCTTCCGACACATTAACATAAGAACATAACACAATTTTCCAGCAAAGACATTTAGCATCTGGATTTCTTTCTCCTAGTATACCTGCTACCACATCAGAAACATTCAGCCTCAACCTGATCTCTCCTGTTTTTTGTATCTCTCCCTCATAAAATGATCAAAATCAAGCTCCCCAACTGGGACCTGCTGCTACACAGGAACATTAAAGAAGATGATTGGTAAAGGTAAGATGAAAGAGAAATCATTCAACTTTGCTTGCCAACTAAATCTTTTCCCAACAATAACAAAAATATGTATGCCACAAATAAAATCAATTAGATATCCACTCTACTACCAACAAGCAGCAGCATATCTAAGAATTTTTCTTTTAAAGGAGAAAAATGAACAAATTGAAAAAAATAACAGTCTTACATCTTTATTATATTGAATCAGTGGCCCCAATGATAATGAATTGAGTGCAGCTTCAGCTGCTAACTGCCTTGTTCACGTAGGTATCTCAGCTTCACAGAGCGCCGTCTCCATAACCTGACATAAGAAATGAAATATAATAAGATACATAGTAGAATACTAACCTCTGTTACAATAAGGAACAAGCTACCGATTAATGAACCTTAGAATTAACTTTAGTTTTGCATCAGCAACTTCATCATGAAAATTTGTCATAAATTCATCAGTTTCAATTTCTTGACTAGTATCCACAGGTTCTTCATCTTCCATTTCATTAACAGTGACACCTTGAAGTACTGAATTTTCCACAGCGTTATCATATACACCACTTGGTAGTCTCTCTGGTGAGGATTTGAAGTTATCAAAAGCAAGCGTCTTCCGCACTGAATTTTCAACATCATTATTGTATTTAACACTTGGGGATCTATCTGGCTGAGGATTTAACTTATCAATTACCATACTTTGGGGAACAGAGCTTTCCACTAAACTACCATATTTACCACTTGGAGATCTTTCAGGAAGAGGTGTTCCTGAGATCGCTTGTGATGGCATGCCCTGATCCATTCTGAAAACCATCTTTCTCTCTGGAGCTATTTTGAATAAAATATCATCTGCTTTTTCCATATCTTCAACATTAGCTGGTTGTGACTGAGGAGAACCATGCGTTAAGGGGAATCCCTGCGGTGAGAATAAGGCACTAATCTTATGATGCCCATTTGGACTTGTATGATCAACAATTGATGTACCAAACATTAATTGCGCTTGTGTGTGGTCCTTTGGAGATGAAAGAACTACATGATCAGGCATTTTGTCATCAGCATCAAGGACATGAGCCACTCTTGGTTCATGCTTGTAGATTTTATCGAGCTGCTTTTCTTTGGATGCTACCACAGGTAAGGAAACCATTTGAGAAGAAGCTAAAACATCCTCAGAAATATTTCCCGACCTTTTCAAATGAACGAGTGTGGAACACTTAGTAGGATAGTCCCTCTCAGCATTAAGAAATGGACCTTCCTTCACCATGTATGGTTCCTCGAATTCGTTAAGAGAAAATCCATGATACTCTAAAAGGCTCTCAATCTCCTCTTCCTCTTCCTAAATTTGAGCCCCAAAGAGCAGTTTAAGATATATATATTTCACAAGTAGATGGATAAAGGCTATTTATGCCAAGTACCTCCATGCCAAGCCACCTAGCAACAAGGGTGACAGGAAGACCTCAGTTGCTCTGGAGACTAGAGTGTAGAGAAGCAAGAGCCTGGGTTCTTAACTGATCACAAAAAAAGGATAATTTGAAACAACGTTACACAACCAACTCCTTTGTCCAAAGCATAGAAACATGAGATTGCATCACACGACTACAAGTAAAAGAAAAAAAAAGAAAAGAAAAGGAGAGAACCAGAAATTAAGCAGCAGATAATTTCATGATTAAAAGAAAATTTTTAATAATTACTTCCCTACTAATATATTCCTATAACCAACCATAATGTTTAAGATAATGAAAATAATTATACATTTCTGCATGGAAATAAGTAGCTGGAAAATGTTCATGCAGTTGTGCAAACAAAATATCAACACTAATCACATTCGTATGGGTAGGAACAAGTTAAACGAAACAATACATGTTAGACATGAAGAAGGCTTCCAAACAATGAAATCCAAAAATTTCAAAGGGATTATCCAATATTCTAATTATACATTTTGTGTAAAAGAAGCAAATTTTGTCATACCTTTGCAAAGTGAGCATGCATCAGACATGCTTGAAGGTAACTTGCCTTCCTTGCCAGCCTAAAGAATGCAACAAAGTTACCTGTCCTGCAAGCCCTGCAAGATCCAACAGCTTAAAATTAGACCTAAATCAGACAGTATTATACCAAATGGAAATCAGAGGTAAGCAACAACCTGGCTACATCACGAGCAAACAGAACTTCTGGTGTTTGTCTTAATTCTGTTGTCATCTTTGCAAGATCCAATGAGAGCTCAGCAGGTTCAACCTAGCAGCGATTTTTTTTTTTTTTTTTAAATCTTAAAGACTGCATTTAAATAAATTTGGTGCAATTATGTTGCTACTGCATGTTACTTACTTTATACCCAGGATGTTTGTCAAGTTTGAGAAGTGCATAATAACCTCTAAACTCCTTTTCAGTTGGCATGTTTATTCCTTTCTTCCTGTGATCATCATACATTTGGAATAATTCAACCGATGTTTTGTTCATCTGCTCAATACTGAGGTGTGCATCAAATTCCTCAGAGAAGCCCTCTGTTGGTATATTCAGATTACTCATGCATGGCGACTATGTGAAGCCTTATCTGTAAACCCGGATAGAGGTCAGCATTGTTAATTAAATTAGAATGCAAAATAAATACCTTCTGTTTTCTAAAACCAAAATAAAAATGTACGCATGATACCAGCAAAAACCAAAACAAACTGCTATTTTGTTTACATGGAAATGAACGAACTTTAGCTAGTGTGACATGCCAACTGCTCTATACTCCATTAAATTAAGATATTTAAAGAAGCTTCCTTTATAGCAAAGGCTGCAAGACAAGAATATGTATGTCTTGCAAATTCCATCCTTTTCCAGCAAAGCTTGCAAAAGAAGCAAGCATTTATAATTGCAGTAAAAAGACTACAAAAGCTGCTCTCCTAATCTGAAATGCAGCACAGCACAAATGCTAAATGCATACAGGCACAACTATGACGTCCATGAAAGCTACAAGAAACCAATCCAATCAAATTAAAAGTCAATATAACAAGAAGAAAGCTACCATAAGGAAAGCCTCATATCCACCTCTATGGACTAAAGTGCATTCCTTGATAATTGAAATACTTAAGTATTGATATATAATACAAACAGAAACTAGAGGTACTTTTATCAGGACAAACCATTTGCTCCAGCATTGTAATAGCCCCCTGGTCAAAAATGTGCTGCATCGTCAGATCCATTCGAATAGCTCTCATCCTATCCCACAAAAAGTTATACATTCCAAGGAACCTGTCATCATAAGGCTGATCAAGTAAATCGAGCAGATAATCAATTGTCTTCTGCAGGACTGGCATGGGCCGTATCAAACCCACTTCTCTCTCTGCTGTCCTATTATACTGTAAAAGCAACAGTCAAGCACATCCATCAAGTTTCATCACAAAAAGAAGTGTGGATAAAAATTTTTTTATTCTTACAAAATTTACCTTCTTAACAGCAAGCAATTTGCTAGTTTGATTTCTATCTCCATCCAAGGGTTCATATTGGTCAAGATCCCCTTTTCTTTCCCTTTCTGCTCTTTCTGCCTCTGAAAATTGAAGCAAAATTCCAACCACATCAGCAGAAAAAACATTTTCCTTTGGGATGGAAACTATTCCAGACATGACAGGAAAGTAACTTTGTTTAAAGATTCTAAATGATAGACAAAACATAAGCTCAAGGGTACAAGATTCCAGATCAAGAACTCCTATTCAGAAGTTGCCCCTAAATTTCAGGAGTCAAGACACATACCTGGGCACATATCTGGACATAACCCAACAATAACACTGGAAGTTTCCAAGCTGCCTTCAAAGTCAGTTGATGCATTGCCTTCAATGAAATCCCCAACTGATTCTATAGAACAATCCCCAACAATTTTTCTCCTCTCTTCCATAGATTGCTGGTGTCTATTTGCAGAAATCTTTTGATTTGATGTATTAGTTTGTCTCATTTCCAGAGCTTCACTCAGTTCAGGTTTGAAGCAGGCCAACCACTTTGCTTTGGCTTGCATTCCTCTACAGTCACATGGAATTATCAGAATATATAATAACTAGAATTTTCAACATTTGAGAAACATAATGGTATTGGAAGATCCGATATTTTTACCGTTCATTGTCATATCGCTTGTTACTAGGGTTTGCCTGCAACACTTTGTCTTGCAATGTTAGAGGAGGAGACCTTGTTCTTTTAGAAACCGGGAAGCAGGTGATTTTGTCCATGTTAGAAACTTTATTGTTCTGCACAGGCAAGGACCCCTGAGAACTCTGAGAAATTTGAGAATCATGTGTGTTTAAAAGAACATTTGACCTAGCATCCAACCTAGGAGAAGATGCTGAAGGCCTGCAAGGAAGATCAACAATAGGCTCACTGAAATGTAAAGATGGGAAGAGAAATGCTTAGTGACAACATGACATAAACGTGTCAAGACAGTGCAGAAAACTACAAATCTTGAATAACGGTATAAGCACATTACCCTTTATAGTTGAAGTCTTGAATTTCATAATCTGCTGCTCAGAACTAAGGTTCTAAAAGGATCTATTCTCTTAAATCTTAATAACAGAAACTCAAACCTGGACAGCTTTTGCTTAAAATTTTTTTATGATACTATCATAAATAGATTCTCAATATTTATTTAGGAGTTCTAAATATTATACCTGACAGGCAGGCATATATCACATGGGAAAAGAAAAGGAAACCATAAGCATTCAAAGATCTTGTAATATTTGCATACTTGCCTTCTAGAGTCATTTTGAACAAACTGAGGATACTCCTCAGAAATTTTATTGGTAGATCCTGTAGGTGGAAATCAGATGCCTTTTGGGGCTTGTGTATCAATAGCTTCATAGGCAGCACTTTTCCCATGAAAATAGGGATTCACATGAGATGAGAGTAATGACTGGTTTTGACAAGCCAACAGGTTTGGAAGATTGGCAGGCAACTTTGCATGATTATCCTGCTGCAAAGAGGATGGTAGAGCAGGCCTGCATGATAAACAGAGCTACCAAAAGTTGTAAATGTGGGAAAGTGAATATGTAAGAGATACTAGATAATCAGATCAAACTGCTTAATAGTAAAAGCAAGAGTAGAGAGATGGAGAACTGAACATGTAATTTACCTTTGAGCATAACCAAATGTGGGATGAAATTTGCTTTCAAAAGCAGAAGGTGGATGTGTTGTTTGCAGAAATGAGTCATCATGGCCATTCACAATCAGATCTGAATAGCTATACCAAGCAAAAACTAGCTGGAGTCAGATTGCCATACCAAAAATAAAATTAATCTAAAAGCCAACATCTCTTTCCCAAAGGGGTTAATGTAACCTTGAAACACAATGTATTTGTATTTGTATTAATATAGCTCAAGTATTGCTGTGCTTGTTCTTCACTATATTGCATTGCATGCAGGACCAATAGAGTAGAAACTTATCTTCTGTTTTGTCCCATTCATAGATGACATTTTAATCACTGAAGAATTGATATTCACCTTATATAGGCCTATAAATCTGTTACATAAAATTATCTTAACATCTTCAGAGTTGATAAACGATTTCATGTGCCCAAAGTAAAATCTGACAGTAGGACACCTCTGTTCTGAGTTCTGACTTCTATATGCAAAAATGACATCAAACAAAACATATTGGAATCAACCATTATGCAGAAACTGACAACTGTACAGATCATTTAAAGCAGTCTCGAGTAGAAAAGAATGTAAAAAGAAAAAGAAAGAGTAAACTCTGAAAAGAGTGGTAAGTTGGGAACTAAAATACTTGCACCTAAATGTTAAACATCAAGAAATAAATTATGTAACATGTAAGGAATTCTGAAAAAGATAGGATGAACATGCCTGTGAAGGGAAGCTTGACTAGAGTACCTTGATACATCCTCATTGCTGGAGAAGGTTGTGGGGGATCTAGTTCTCTTCAGCTCTGGGAATTGGGAAATCTTAGCTGAAACACTTATTTCAGAACCACGTCTAGCAATTAAGGACATAGCAGTGGTTGGCCTAGGATTAGTTTGGGCATCATACTCTTTTATGGGAGATCTTTGCCCATCACTCCATCCAAGTAGAGACTCAGTGCAACTACTTGATGTGGGATGATTTCTTTCAAAACTGACTGATGGCAATCTAACTCCGTATGGAGCTACATGTTCCCTATTACCAGAGTAATAACCATTAGTTTTGCTCAAATACCAGGAAATAAAAACAGGACTCAAAATTCATGGTAGGTAAACCGGCTCATGTGACTAAAACTTTTCAACATTTTTTGTTCATGTTCCAAGGAACTTACATAAACCTTATAAAGCATCTGTCCAAACTGAATATACAACCTGTTAATCCCTTTCTCTACTAACCACACGATCAGATTTCTATGCTCAAACATGCAACATAGAATGATTGAAACACTTGCAGCAATACAGGATTCATAGTTAAAGAAACAAATATGCAAATGTGAAATAGAAAAAAAATGTCTACCATTGAATCAAACTTCCAAAACAATTTAGAGACACAGAAGTCTATTTCCAAAAGCTCAAAAATAAGGGAAAGAATAAAAAGACAATAGTAATGTGATTGTGTGAGTGCTCATCTTTGGACTCCAGCAGAGAGAAGAGGACTATTAACAGGAGTGTGGTTCCCAAAAGCTGAAGGTGGTGTTGCCACTCTATCAGCAACCTCAGGTCCCCTACAATCCGGATAGAAATTCAATGATATTTTTCTAGATTACCGAACTAAGCAGAAGCACATTAAAACACAGCAACCAAACTGGTGATCCAATGAGAAAATTCCTATTCCCAAAATTACTTAACAGTAACCTCACCCCACCAAACCACCCCATTCCTGAAAGCCCTAAATTATCAGAAAACAACAGAGTAAAAACCCAAAAAAAAAAAAAAAAATCCTTTTTAAAGATATCAACTTTGAAAACCAAAGATTGTTTTGCAGGTACCTGGTGGGTCGAATAGCAGTGGAGGGGGGAGCAGAATATTGGCGAAGGAAAGCAAAAGGGTTGGGCAACTTCACTTCAGTTTTTGGGCTTGATCCCTTCCCAAACCCTGCCATTGTTACCCTCCTTTTCTTCTTCTTTTAGAATACATAAACTTTTCATTCAAAACCTTGAACTGAATTTTATTTATTTATTTATTTATTTATTTTCCCTCCAAATCAGCTCAGGTGAGTGAATGGTCTTGAATCAAAGAGGGAGGAAGAAGGTTCTGGTTTTTTCTTTTTCAGTCCGTACTGCACAAAAAATGCAGTCCGTACTTAAAAAAATTAAAATACTTAATATTTAAAATATTCAAACATATTTAAGTATAACTATTAAATATATAAAATATAATATAAATTTTAATTTTATTAAATTTATTATATAATTATCATTAAATAATTTAACATTTTTAATATCAAAACTTTTTTAATTTTTACTAACCAACTCTAATTTTTTATAGGATTTTTTTATTCTATAATGTAAATGTATAATAAATATATTTTTTATAATTAATTTTTATTAATAATATAAATATTAACTTTAATTTAATTAATTAACTAATTAAAATAATTTATGTATTAATAATATTAATATATTAATTTTTATAATTTTTAATATAAATTAATTATAAAAAATATATTTATTACACTTTTAACTTATATCTTTAAATACAAATTAAAAAAATCTTTTTATATAAAAAAATTTAGAACTAAGGTCCTCAAATCGTAATCAAGAAATTAAATGTAGTTGTCTGAAAGGGGACTTTTTTGATAATTAAATGTTTGAATTTTTATATTAAAGTTGCAACTTTAAATTTCTAGTTAAGTGGGAAGGGAAGGATAGAGCCAATCCTAATTATTTAAAAAAAATTAATTTGTGCTATAAGGAGAGTACTTTTTTATAATAAATATATATAAAAAATTATAAAAATAAATATTAATTTTAATAATATTATATAAATATATTTAATAAAATAATTAATAAATTAAATATTATTTTTTATTCTTTTAAAACTTTTAACCATTCCATAAAGAGTTAAAAAAACCCATCATCAAATCAAGAAAAGAAAAATGAAATTAAATGCAGCCGGCTGACATGGTGGTGTTTCTTAAAAAGTTAAAATTGTGTGGACTGTGAGTTTTATGGATACTTGGATAGGATTAAAATCAACATATGGATAGGATTTTTTAAGGGTAAATTGGTACCTTTATATATGGTACTGTATTTTTTTATACAATTTGAACTGAAATTTTTTATAAACTTTGCCATTAATTTTTAAATAAAATAATAATTATTTATTTTTTGTTTTAATATATTAATTTTATATTTTATTTAACAATATTAATTTTATATTTTTATATAAAAATTAATTAAATAGTGATATTAATGTAATATCATGGTAAATAATTTTTTAACCATTTAATAACTAATTAATTCTTCCCTAAAAAATATAAAATTAATATTTTTAAATAAAAAAATTAAATTTATTATTTTATTTAAAATTTGACACAGATTACATCATTAATTAAAAAATAATAAAATTTATACCTTCATCTACCTTCTTCTTTGCCCAATTAATTTAAAAAAAACCATCTACATGTTTGGTTAGAGTAAAAAAAATTGGTTGCACTTAAATAAGGATTTGAATTTAAATTTTATAAATAAAAAAATTTAATGAGAAAATTTTCTCATATATAAAATTTAATTTGATTCAATTTTAAATTAATTAATATTAATATGTGACTTTGGGAGATCAGTACAAAAGAAATTAACTTAAAAAAAAAAACATCAATTAACTAATTAGAAGAAAATTGAATATCAGCATCTCATCATCCGTGAGGTTGTTCAAATCATTTTTTATTCAAAAAGGTATATAATGCTTTTCATTTTCCATGTTGCCGAGGTTTTAACTGCTGATAATTCTGAATTCCGTTAATTAATTAATTATAATCCTTATTATAATTTGACTGGTTTTCAGTCCCGATTCACCCTGTGAAAGGCTCCATATTAGCAAGACACCCCACTCTCAGTTCCCAGATTCAGAAGTGTTCTAAGAGAGAAGCAAGCAGAGGTGTAATTGTCACCATGGCTGCCCCAGTCTCAGTCCAGAAAACAGAGGAAGAATGGCGAGTCATTCTGTCTCCAGAACAGTTTCGGATTCTGCGCCAGAAAGGAACCGAGTAAACCCATCAATTCTCATTCTTTTTTTCCGAATTTGGGTACTTTGATTCCCCGCATGAAACAATAATTTGAAGTTTACAAGTTAGGATTTTGATGGGTGAATTATGCTTCTATTGTGTTTCAGTTATTTGGGTTTAAGTCAATTCATTGCTTCTTGTTATATTTATATGGGTTCCTGTTTTGCAGTCCACACTGTATTAGATTGTAATATCAGGGCCCTTGGATGAGGAAAGAGTGCCAATTGAAGGGGAATTGTTCTGTAGTCTAGTAGAGTCTGGACTGTAAAATAGATTTTCGTATTTATGTTCATCTCTTGTTTATTGCCAGGGATTCGGATGCTATGTGTTCCATATTTTGCTTAGGAGGTTATTTTCATCATTTTTTAATGTTGCATTTCCTAGCTTGCAAAGGTTTGTATGTATTTGAACATGTGTATTCCCCTCATGCCTTATGATGTGGTCGCCATTTTTGTTATGTAGATTATGCCACCAGTAATAGTATTGTCATGGAAACTTGGAAAGAGAGTTCTTATTCCTGAATCCTGATTAATGATATGTGGTTGCAGATTATTGTGGAAGTTTAGATACACTGATGGCATCAATATGATATTGAGTTCTGATTCTTTGAATTCTATATTGTCATGCAATTCTTGTGTCTTTTTCCCATTTGATTCATCTTCTGTCTGATGATTTTGGTCTATAGGCCACGAGGCACTGGAGAATATGACAAATTCTTTGAGGAAGGGATTTACAATTGTGCTGGTTGCGGTACCCCATTATACAAGTCCTCAACCAAGTTCAATTCTGGCTGTGGTTGGCCTGCTTTCTATGAGGGTTTCCCCGGAGCCATAAACCGCTCTGTGAGTAACAGATTTTCGTTTTTCCATCTGCCATTCTTAGTGTTCTTAGGTTGTTGATGTGATTCATGTGATTTGTTTGGTTTTGGAATATTGGGTTATATTATACAATAGGAAATGGTTTATCTATTCCTAAATCACTGAAAGTCTCACATTCAAGCAGTTAGGACGTACAAATGGCTGTTATGGTACTTTTTGGTTGAATTATAATTTTGTAAGCCATGATTTTGCAGCCGGATCCTGACGGGAGAAGAACTGAGATCACATGTGCGGCTTGTGGTGGGCACTTGGGTCATGTTTTCAAAGGGGAAGGATTCCAGGTACCAACAGATGAGCGCCACTGTGTCAACAGTGTTTCAGTCAAGTTTATTCCCCCAAATTCAGCTCCCTCTTCATGAGCAAACAAAACTTATCCTGGCATGGGATGTTTACCATATTGTTCAGATTTTATTATGTCTCCCCCTTCAATAATTTAGCCGTGATGCTACCAGTGTTTCTACGTTTTAGAGAGTGTCATTGTGAAATGCTTCATGTTTTCACTTTTCAAGATCAAGAAATATGATTGTGCTAGAGAGCAAGATCCAAGAACTCCAGACCATGTTAAAACTTAATTTCTTATATGGAATATGTATGTAGGCTTGCATCAAAGGTGGTTCGGATTTTTGAGTTTATTAACAGTGTCCTTTTACTCTCAACATGCAATACAAGTTTGGCCTCCCATGATTAACCACATAATTATGAACTGACCGGGAATAAAACACTGGGAGTAAGGGTCAAGAATCATCCCTCGAAGCTATTTGTTACTAATTTAACTAGCTAATTATG